GCCATTTATAAGGCTGTGCAACGTAAGATAAAAGAGTTATGAGTGTTTGAAAATCATAAAAACGGCCGCCATCTTGAAAAATCAACCTCAATCCTACATATAGGCTACCGCCTATATAATATTTCTGAAAACTATATAAATCCAGCTAAAAATACTAATGACTAACACAAATAATAATAATAATAATGATATAATAGTCCTCCCAAAGAGTTTTCTAAGGAGCATATGTAGTAGCATAGCCACCTGTCTGGTTCCCAATCATATTAATTGGAGTTTTACCATCAGTAATGAGAACAGACTGTATACCTAAACTCTGTAACAAACGAGCCTAGAGGAGTGGAAGAGGAGGAGAGGGAGAGAAGAATCATTAGTAATCAACAGACACTAATGTGAACCATACAAAACCGATGTGAACAAACACTGTATTACTGTATACTGTACCTTTGATTCTGGTCCAGCTTTAGCAATACGGGATATAGTCTGCTTACCCATAGAACTAACCAATGTACTAAACTTAGACACCTATTACAATAGATTTACAATACATTACTATTAAAAAGTTAATAAATTAATTAATATCTTTATTCTCTTCATACAGGACTCATTGTTTGCAGTGGGTGTGGCATACGCTGTTTATTATTATTGATATAAACAAGAACGTTTTCACCTAATTATTATATTAATAATAATAATTAATTAATTAATATGTATGTATCATCTATTGTCACTAATACACAGTAATGTAACAACTAATATACATGTTACATATTACATGTTATACATGTGATAACTAATAAACGATTTAAAATTGAAAGCACAATAGCAGCACAAAATGATAATTATATACTTCAATGTTGCTGAGGTCTTTAGCTCTCTTTATTTGTAGTTCACTCTGTTCCCTCAAGAACTGAACCTCAGCCTCTTGCATCTGATCAGAGAATGGAAATACACATAAGAGAAGGAAACACACATGAAAGGTTTGTGTGTGTGTGTGTGTGGAGAGTGGAGAAATGACAAGTGAGTGACTAACTTTAGTCTGACAAGTAAGTTCAGCCTCCATTTCAATTCTTGTTGATTCTGCTTTTAACTTAGCCACTACAAAAAGAAAACAGTCAAAACACACAAACATAACATTTACATGATGTGTGAGTGTGATATGATTATAACACAATTGGAATGTCTGGTGGATGTGCCACTTGGATATTGTTGATTTTGTTAGAACCTGATTATCTCCATAATTGTGCACAACACTGTACTATACTAAAACACTGTACTACA